TGGAGAATATTCCCTATTCACTCCATTAGCTAGCTACCTGTTTATCCAAAGCAGGTGAAAGCAGGCCTACATCAGCTTTCAGTTACTCATCATCATCATCAACTCATCAAGGTTTATTAAATGAAGTCTAGTGTCTCCCTGTCATTTGCATATCTTCATCCCTTACAGGTTACATTCAACCTCATTCTCAAACAGAGAATCTAAACTGTTCCTGAAACATTGACTTAAGTCATTGATGTGCCAACCATGGCTGGGAAAGTTGACTAATGCTGAAAGTACCCTGATCTCATGATAAGGCTTGCCCACAGATCTGCCTTGGATTGCCTCTGCCTGTCACAGTAACCATGCGCTATTAAGCTGGTATGTGACAAAACAGGGAAACTGTAATTTAATCTTTGTGTAAGAATCCATATTTTAATGATCCCAAAACAAGTACTTTTGGTATTCTGCTCATCTCACTAAGCTATTCAGTCATGTTTCACCAAATACAAGACTGTCTGTCCTCAACTTAAAGCTGAAACACTCTCTGCCAAGTCTTAGTCCTCCAGATGCACAAGGAGTCAACAGAGATTTTGAATGTAGTTGATCTCCTTTTAAGTTGAATGCCTTTCTGTAAATAGACTGTCGCTAGTCGAGAAGGAGACAATTATAGATTGTGTACACAATTTTCATAAACCGATCTTTGAAAAACTGGAAGACCATGAAAACAGGGTTTCATGTATTTTTCATATTTTTGTCAAGTCGCTGATTAATATTTCAGTGTTCTGGGGTTGGCTGCCGTATTGAAACTTTGTAAAATCAGCCAGCAATGCAAGTAATGAGCACATGCCAGAGGGGTGGTGGAAGCTTGTCAGAATGGCTCCCCACAGCTGGACTGGGACAGATACACAGAATTCCTCTGGTGCTGGGATGGCAGATCCAGACACTTGACACCCAGAATAATGTCATTTTCTACCATCATGTATCTTTAACAACTTATAAGTCTAGGAATGTTGGGTTGAGTTTTGTCTTTGAATTGAAGTTAAACAGTACTAGGCTGCATTACAAAGGAAAAGGACCCCTGTCAAGATTATTGAAGATTATATAAGTCAGGGGTGCTTGACTACTATTTGAGAAGGTCCGGTCACACAAATGTCCTAGGTGGAAAGGTCCGGTTGGATATTGTCATTTATCAGCGTAGTAAAGGGCCCACCTCACACCCTTCTTGTTGGCGGAGAGCATTTTGCAGTTTTAAAGCTCATTTCCTGCAATTCTACACAATTTGCCATGAGGCGGAGATAAATATTTTGCCTTTTTAAAGCTAATTTCCTGCAATTTTGCCATGTCTTATGTGTGTTCATATGATACCTGAGTGACTCAACAAAATCAGTGGGGGCACCTTTGGGGTCAAGGCCCCTGGACGTGTAATCTGGCCATGATAACTACAAGATTTAGGTAGCTGGTTAGCCTAATTTACTTATCTAGCTAGTAGTCAACTGGACAATTCTGACAGGTTATAAATAGCTCTCTAACGTCTGTCAGTGAATGACATAACTAGAGGAAAACTGCCCATGCGCTACCAAATTTTAAAATTGCACCGTGTGCATTCTACGTTTACAACCCTCAACAGCAGTAAGTTGAAAACCCGACTGAGTTCCTAAAAATAAAACGTATTGACCCCGTTCTGGATCTGGTCTGCCTGTTGAGTATGGCTGATTTAAATAAATGTTTGCTAAGTATTATTTTAGTTGCTGACTGTCAAATAAGCTCATACATCCATCTTTCACAGTATTTTGTCCTTACACTCATCCCAGTTTGCGCTATCACAGCCACCCACGGTCCATGCAGGTAATCTAAACCTGTGAACACCAGTCTAACATTTGCAGTCCATGGATGGACCCCTTTCTGTCCATTTGTAAGATTAACAGATATGACTTGTGGGCATGTTAAACTGATGCTTTTTTTCCTTGATCTTAAAGGTAAAATAGGAGGTGCTTATATTTGTCCTGTTTCACACATTTACAAGTGTGTAACCTGTATAAGTGTGTGGTGTGAAATGGAAATGTGATTTTGGCATATCCCATTCCCCTGAGACACCCTCGGCGAGTGGGGTCACGGCCAGGGATCAGCTATTATTGGCGGTGACCCTGGAGCAATTAGGGTTAAGTGCCTTGCTCAAGGGCAGATCGACAGATTTCACCTAGTCGGCTCGGGGATAGCAACTAGTAACCTTTCGGTTACAGGCCCAATCTGTTACTCTGAACATAATCTGGCATGGTCAAATAGGATCCTCCCTAATGGAATGGTTCACTCTGATTCTTAAGTGGTTGAGTAGGTCTATTTTAGCAAACTGTCCGAAAGTGGAAGTGAGATTTGGGATTCTGGCAGGGGGAGCGTTTGTTGGCCAGATTATCCCTTTTATGCAAATGTCCTCCCTCCCCTGTTAGGTCCCAGTGAAGCGTGGTGGGGGCCTCAGCGCTGGCCACAGCTGCTTCCCGTTTACGCAGAATCACATGGCAGCCATCTGGACGGACGCCGCTGTCGCTGCCTGCCGCTGCACAGCCCTGATGAGCTCCTCTGCCGGGCCTCGCCTCTCTCTCCAGGCAGCTAGGCCTGGTCCTCTGAGCCCTGGCCCAGCCTCATGTTCCACTGCCTCATCCTCGGTGTCCTAGCTAGCTAGATGTCCACTCTCTTGTTCTCTGTGTTTTCCTGGCAATTCACTCTTCTAGGTTATCTCTGTGTGCGACATGAAGCATTCACCCACATCTTCTCTGTGGCCTGGCAATCCTCTCTCTGGTCTTCTGTGTGTTAGCATTCACCCACTGTTTTCTGTGTGCGACAGTGGATCTTTGCTGCCTGGTTTTCTTTGTCCTGGCAGTCTGGTTCTTTGTGTGTAAGCACTCTTTTCTCTCAGGTTATCTGTGTTCTGGGGTGTATTCACTAGGAACCAAACAGAACCAAACGGAAGCAAACGAAGTGGAACGGGGAGAGACCTACATGAATTTGCAACGGTTTGAACTAATGATTACAGCCCTGGTCTGGACCTCTGCTGTCCGGTGTTCAGTGCCCTGCGGTTCTTTACCTGAATTATTTGAGCCCTACTGCTCTATTGCTAGATCTTTTAAACTATAGTAAATTGCTTAATCAACTTCTCTGTCCTTTAAGCCATGATGTACCACTGCTTGGTGATCATGTGGTTTCATTATATCATTAATACTTTTATATTTCAATCTCTAAACTACCCTAATATTCCTTTCTGAAAATAACAGGTAGGTTGGGCACATATGCAAATGCTTAGTTGCCTGAACCTGATAGTAAGGACACTTTAGCAAACCCATATTGGAGTTAAAAACCATGAAAAGTATCTGTGTACTTTTAAATACTCTAAGTATTCATTTATTCATCATGAATTAAGTTGGCCGCAATCTTTTTACTTAAAAAATATAGATATATTTTTGTACCAGGAGTATACATGTCAATCATTCACTCTGTTGTTCCTTGACCATTAGCAGCTACATTTTGAATGACTGGAATATTGTGAACTTAACGATTTAGGAAAGCTTGAGAAAGTGCAATTACATTTCTATATTTCTATCAATTTATTTATCTCTTTGGTTATCATGGCAGCATGGTTTGGTAATGAAAGAATTGAGAGGGTTGCTCACTCAAATGTTTCGGGTCATGTACTATACTTATAGCTTTGCCTAGGCTATATTCTCGATGGCTGAAATGTACAGAGCAAACACAGTTATCTATTCAATGGGATATTGTCAGTTCATTAACATTAACTTTTAAATGTATTAATGTGCCAGATGGTGCACCCTAATGATTATGAATTGCTTTAAATAACTACAATGGATTGCCATTCAAATATCCAGGGGTAGAAATGGAATAGTGTGAAAAGTTGTCAATTTCCTACGTACATACTGTAGGTCCAGTAGGAAAATACAGTGCAACCTTTGAAATATCCTTGAAAATATTTTACCTCCAACTATGTGTAAACGGATAACAGGTATATGATGTAATCCTGCAGAAGCTTACTATGAAAGAATAACAAATAACAGTATTATTTTTGTGTATGTAAAATATCCTTTATTGATATTTTGCAAGCATGATATATGAGTGAAAATACTTTGAAAGTTTAGTCCAAATTGAGAGTAACATTTTCTCTGCCACCGAGGTAAAAAGCTGGGACAAAACCGAATCCCATCCATACTTTATATCAAACAAAAATCTTTCAGTAAAAACACTCTAGTTCAGTCATTTATTAAACTCAAATTAATGTATCACATTTGATTAATGGTAGGGAATGTGTGAACTAAACAAATCAAACAGGAAACACCAACTGTAATAAATTACCAAAAGAAACACATGCATGTGTACACGGCATAAATAATATATAAAAAGTTCATATAAAAAAAACAAGAAGTTTAAAACAAACTGTTACATTTAAGTACAATAAGGAGCTAAATCTCCTTGGGGGAGATTCAAATAGATTATTATAGTGAAGAATGAAATTGTCATGTTATGACAACTTAAATGTCAAGCAATACCTTGCCATTTAAAAGACAACTTTTTTTTGCATGATTGTATTCTTTAGAATAAAATATACAGATATTCCTGTCCAGGTAGGCTATCAGAAAACATACATTTATTTAATGTACACAGACATCAAAGGGTAGATCAATGACTTAAAACTATACAGTATGTGACACATGATACTTACTGCTGAGGCACAATAATTTTTTAAGTTGTTTGTTTTGTTCACTGAACAGTTATTTGAACACCTTTTGTTTTCTAAAAAAGCAGATGGAGGAATAGTTAATTTTTCCTCCTGAACATGTGAAATCAACATAAATTAGACTTGTTCTTCAACATGCAATTTCTTGACAATGTATAAAAATTGTGTGTGTGTGTGTGTGTGTTTTAGTACATGTACATGTGTATGTTCTTGAGTAAGTGTGTGTTCAGTTGGCAACTCTGTAGCGATGCTCCCCTCGGGTCATGTGTGACGAAAACTCGTAGCGGTCCTGACTGCGGTGGCCACAGAGATTGCACTCAAAGGGGTCTCTGAAGCCGTGGCAGCCCATGTGGATGGTGTACATCACGTGGTCTAGGAAGAGGATGCGGCAGTGTTCACAGCGATATGCCCTCACCTGCTCCCCCTCTCCACTCAGCACCTTGAACCCCTCCGAGGCAATCTCGATGCTGGCACGCATGGCCTCGTACTGCCGCTGCTGCTCCTCCTTCACCAGGGGCAGCACGCCATTACGTACCCCAGACGTGATGTGGTTGGTCAGGTAGATGAGGCCCGAGGCCCCGACACCTGCCCTCTCTTCATTGTTGCTCTCCGTGTCGGTGGAATCCTGGCCACTGTGGCTGGGGGAGCCGTCCTTCTCGCTGGAGGCTGACTTGGACTTTGCGAGCAGCAACAGATTTTCGGCTGCGCTGTCCTTGGCTGACAGGCCGTGGCCCTCTGGAGGGGGCTTGTGGAGGGGGAACATGGAGCTCATGACCCCCATGTCAGAAGAGGTTGGGGAGGTCTGGATGAGCGGTCGGAGAGACTCTGCACCCAGGTAGCTGATGGCACTGTTGATGGCCTGGTCGATGACATGAGGCTGCATCAGTTCCCCCGGGCCACCCTCGAAGGAGATGTCGGAGAGGCGTTTCTCACCTGAGGGTTAGAAAGGGAAAACAGATGAACACCAATGTTAGCCTACAATTCAAATTTTAAAAAAACTCTGATTCCTGATATCAAACATTACAAGCACTTATGTTTACCTGTAGTTCTAGTGATCAATTTATTGGTCACGTTTGACTTATATTGAAAGGTGATTCTCCTTATTTAGAATATTCCGTTCTTTGCATTTTTCTCATGGCTGATTACTTCGTTTTATTTGTTGTTATTTCTAACATATTTTGTAAATATATTCTTATTGTTAATTTAAGAAAGAGTCATCTTCAAATAAATGTATAATACACCAAGCGTAAGAATCAAGTTGAAATCAATGAAAATATTCTGTTTGCTCAACTTAAATAAAGCTCAAACATTGTTATAAAGATATGCAGATTCCAGGCACAAGGGTGATCATGCTGAATATGTGCTGTTTTATTAAATAGCATATTCTGCTGCGCAAAGGTAGCAAATAAGAATGCATCAAACTGAAATACACAATTCTGACAATTGGAACCTAAGTCCTGTGCTTTACAATTACAGAAATGTTTGTTGGTATACGAAGGAAGAAGACTTTATCCCTTACCTACAAACTTCTGTGGCATAGTGCTCTTACGTTTGGCTACATTATTAGCTAGTCTGTCTAGCACCAAGGCTCTGTTAGATCCCATCTGGCTTAAGTCTTCCCTCTGCTCATTCTGGTTGCTTTCTTCCTTTACTACTGGAAAGCAAGACAGAAAAGTAGGTTTCAGAATCAAAGTAGTAAAATCTGACCTGATAAAATGTATAATTACTGTATAACAGGATCTTGCTACAATTTGCTAAAGCATCCCTCCCTGACAGTAGATACAGGGCACAATGATGATGAGGCCTTTATTGACAGACATGCAGCAGTTGGTATACATTGGCCTTACTGACTAAGCAAAGCAGAGTGGTCAACCTTTCTCGTAATTTCCTCTTCTAATTTCCTCTTCTTAACCTCTGCACTCTCGCCCCACTTCCTAATGTTGTCAGTTCAGTAGGCTACATGTACATCCACCCTCAATGGATCCTTTGTATAAGAGATAGTTTTACGTGAGCAAAAGCCACATTATCTTACTATATTTATTTAACTTTAAGCCATGTTCCACATTCAGTAAATTATTATAAGATTTTAGCAGAACTGTCAATTTATTTTTAACAAAACATGAACTGAAAAGATTGCAGAAAAAGTACGTCATGCTCCTATTTATGGTTCTTTGATTCACAGAATGAAGTAGTAAAACTTGAAGACCTTTTTTACCACATTTCTTTACTGAATAAAGTGTTTTCCCCTTTAGAATAACTGGGTATGAGTCAACAGTAACAGCAAAAAGCACTCCAATACATTATGGAAGCCTTGCATCTGATAGAGAAACAACATTTATTCTGCAGATAAATGTTATAAAATCTAGTCTGACCTGTTGGAGTATTGTTGCAATTTCAACATTGTTGGTGCATTAATGTTGCTACCAGAGAGAGTCCTGAGTGGTGACGCGTAGCCAAGTTCAAAGTAGGTCAACAGTGTGGGTGGAGGTGAGAGACTGACACTAACTAACCTGTATAGATGCTGTTCTGCAGCCCCATGCACTGGAGATAGTTGTGACACCGCTCCTTGTGTTCCTCCAGAGAGCTACGCTGCTTGTAGCTCCGCCCACAGTAGGCGCATTTGTGGGGTTTTCCAACTGCAAGAAGTGACAGCAGTGAGTATTGACAGCAATTAATTGAGAGCAATTTTCAAGCATGTGAGATGTCCATTGTACTGTCCATATTGTGATTGGTGTACATGTATATGTTGTATTTGAGTTATAATAATGGCATTCTTTTTCCTTCTCCAATAGATCCAGTCCCATGTTTCATTGACATGATACATTTATAATAATTTGTTTGCAGATGACAGATATCCCACTGGGCAAAGAAGTCAATTCAACGTCTATTCCTCGTTGGTTCAACATAATTTCATTGAAATGACGTGGAAACAACGTTGATTCAACCAGTGTGTGCCCAGTGGGATGGTTCCCACTCCACACTAAGACCACAGAGTACAGGGAAGGTGTTCCCTCACAATTCCACTGGGTAAGTACCACCACCTGGAAAGTTAATTAGGCCCTAAACGGGAGACATCGGAATGAAACAGGGAGGGACTACATGGTGAAAAAAAAAAAAAAACATCTGTTGCAAACCCTTTTAAAATGTTGCATGCCCTAATGTCCACAACACACTGACCACTACTCCTATCCTCCTAACTCACCAGAGTGGGTACGTAGGTGACCGCTGAGGGCGTCTCTCCTGCGACAGGCATAGTTGCACAGGTGACACTTGAAGGGCTTCTCTCCTGAGTGGAGCTTGATATGACGCAGCAGGTTGCCTTTCTGGGTGAAAGAAGCGCCACACTGGGTACACTGGAATGGACGTTCTCCTGAGGACCAGAAACACCACACAGCAGGCTGTTAGGGCCATCACACAGGAGCAGCTGCCACTCATCTACAGTATGTATCAACACTTTCAATGTAAGTGGCACATTGCAAATGAGTGTTTGCATATTTTTCACTAACAAGCACACTTTTGTAATCTCTCAAATACATAACTGGAGTATAGGTGTCTTTGAGTTATGTAAATATTATCATGTAGAAAAGAGGAACATTTTCAGCAAAATCTTGTTTTATGAGCTGACACAAAATGACAATAATATACATTACTGTAGATTAGTACTTTATTTGTAAGAGTAGGCCTATATGAATGGAATTATATATGTTTTATATAAACAAGGATTAATGCAAAGTGTTGACAGTGTGTGGTGAATGTATGAACATGCTTTCTCTTTTGTCATCTTACAGTATAAGATGGACCTATTTGTGATTTGTATCAGTTTATCAACCATTCGGAGTTTGTATTTTGCTTTGAGCCACACCAATGTCAGCTCGGCTCAACGAGAACAGCCTCTCTTCAGAGAATAATGAGCCAGGTATAAAACCATTGTCTGAATTTTGCTATGTGGATGCAAGAACTAAACCATCTCCAGCAATAGCGCCACTGTGGATGTGAATGTGGGGTCACAGTACTACAAGACTCCCAAGCACTAGAACACAGTGAATGATGGAGGAACTCTGTGCACAGGCCAATCAACCAGCCTAGGAGGGTTTGAGAACGGAGTGACACTTCATTTCTCCATGCACTCCCTGGCCCTGAACCTCGTAGCCGAATGGCACTTTGATCGAACAAGAGCCTTTCAGACTCAGGCTGCCAGTTCTGTAATGCACCAGTGCCTGGGTCAATTTGATCAGAAAATCTCTTTTTTTTTTCTCTTCTTCGTCTCTAAAATAAGAGCAGCCCATCACAATGCAAATTCAAGCTCATTTGAATAAAGTGAAGGAAACACTTTGTGTTGAGAGCCAGTCTTCCTGATCAGTGGTTCTGGAATAAACCAATATCTAGCCTCTCTGAGTGTTGTGGCATTCTGTGAGAAGGTTTTAATATGGCTTTTTTTTTTTCAAAAGGCCCCATAAAATAAGAGTTACCAGTGAAGCAGCAAAATTATAGAAAAAAAGGAAACTCATTAAAAATGCATTTCAGGAGCAGAGACACCACAGAATATTTTCTATTTAAATAGGAGGCACTTCATTATATATTTTATTATATGTTATTTTGCATTTACATTAGTCTAGTGTTCCTTTCTTCCATTTTGGGTTTCATTAGTTTCTAAAGCTTGACAGTTAAGTGCCTTTTTGAAAAATGTTCCCCGCCACTGGTTTGGGTTCATTACAATAGAATATCAATTCTGAATTTTGAAAAACGTGTAATACTCGGATAATTGCCATTTTGTGGAGATTCCATTTAATTGCTGCAGATATCCTGTTTTTCAACTGTGATATAAGGGCATGTTTAGGGATTATATTGATCATACTTTTTCAATCTTATCACACAACAAATAGATCACGAGCCACTTCTCTCATGTGATAATTTAAAAGAACACTCAGAGAATGAAAATTGTATAGTGGCTTCCTCAGTCACCCATACAGAATATACTGTAGATACTACAAATGACACATGACATACTTGACTAATACGTCAATATTTCAGTCTAAAACATCCCTTTACAGTATTATAGACCAATATATAGACTATAGCACAGCAACTATGGGAAGAGATGCCTCTGAAACTCATTTGACTAATACAAACCAATGAAAGCTCTATATTATCCACATCAAAAACTCAATAGAGTGTTTAATAACACATAATCTACTCCTGTTAAGCACTGCCATCATCAATTAACTCCAGTTGTTTAAGTAATAACTTTTGCGAAACAAGTATTCAACTGCTTCATTGCACTTCACTTAATGAGAAATTACATAGTAACAGTTAGCAGCTCCTGGTGCTTATCTCTTAGAATTCAACACAATCGGTGGATGCCTAGCACTGTCGCATGGTAGCCTACTTAGTGGTTAAATATACAAAAACATATTTATTAGGTGATAAGCATGTAATTATCATTTTAGATTTCCAAGTAAATACCATGTAAATGGCCAACTCTAAATATATAGTGTGAAACCCCAATTACTTGTGTTGAAGCCTATAACTCATGCTCTGTAGACAACTTTGGAATAAGACATAAGAACACAGACTAACCCTAACAGTGTTCTGTCTACTGCTCTCAGTGTCTCAAGTGAAGATAAAGACAGAATCAATCTCATCTTCTCCACTCCACATACACATAATCTCTCTGTAAGGCTACCAGTGAGCGTGGGTGCAAAGTAAGGGCGATGAGTATCGCGGATGGCTTACCAGTGTGGCTTCGCTTGTGCACCATCAGCACATTGGGGCCAATGCAAACTATCCCACAGATATCACACTTGAGCTTCCCGTTGGGCAGGCGGATACCCCCAGCCGAGGAGAAGGGGCCCTTGCTGTCGGGGCCGCCTGCATGGGAGCCGTTCACTTTGGCCCCCGAGGCATCGAGCACGCGCAAGTCTTCCGCACACTCCTCCTCCTCCTCGCCATTCATCATCATGTCAATGGCGAGCCCATTCTCCTCGTCACTGCGAGCCTCAACTTTAATGTTACAGGCTGGAAAAGAGGGCAGTGGGCCACTGTTTAGAATAGGAACATGTTTCTGGGGGACTATAGCCTACCTGTGTAGAAATATGAGTACATTACTATATTACTATCTTTGACTTTTTATGGGACAATATGTGACTGTTAGTTTAAAGGCATGTGTTTGTGTCTCCCTCTACATGACTGGTTGTTTTAGTCTATGAAGTCTATGAACATCTGTGAGACCATGCCTCACCTCCAATTAACTTACTTATAGCAATAGTTCATTACGGAGTGAGAGCATTTAAATCAGCACTTTCTGTGCAACAATCCTCAATTCAACTTTATTGGCTGAGTACACTAGGATAAAACTTTGAAACAAATTTGCTGAACTCATGCAGTGGGTTCTTGTGATCAGTGTTCCAGATCAAACATAACAGATGGATAATATATACAGTGGGGAAAAAAAGTATTTAGTCAGCCACCAATTGTGCAAGTTCTCCCACTTAAAAAGATGAGAGAGGCCTGTAATTTTCTTCATAGGTACACGTCAACTATGACAGACAAAATGAGAAAATAAAATCCAGAAAATCACATTGTAGGATTTTTAATGAATTTATTTGCAAATTATGGTGGAAAATAAGTATTTGGTCAATAACAAAAGTTTCTCAATACTTTGTTATATACCCTTTGTTGGCAATGACACAGGTCAAACGTTTTCTGTAAGTCTTCACAAGGTTTTCACACACTGTTGCTGGTATTTTGGCCCATTCCTCCATGCAGATCTCCTCTAGAGCAGTGTTGTTTTGGGGCTGTCGCTGGGCAACACGGACTTTCAACTCCCTCCAAAGATTTTCTATGGGGTTGAGATCTGGAGACTGGCTAGGCCACTCCAGGACCTTGAAATGCTTCTTACGAAGCCACTCCTTCGTTGCCCGGGCGGTGTGTTTGGGATCATTGTCATGCTGAAAGACCCAGCCACGTTTCATCTTCAATGCCCTTGCTGATGGAAGGAGGTTTTCACTCAAAATCTCACGATACATGGCCCCATTCATTCTTTCCTTTACACGGATCAGTCGTCCTGGTCCCTTTGGAGAAAAACAGCCCCAAAGCATGATGTTTCCACCCCCATGCTTCACAGTAGGAATGGTGTTCTTTGGATGCAACTCAGCATTCTTTGTCCTCCAAACACGACGAGTTGAGTTTTTACCAAAAAGTTATATTTTGGTTTCATCTGACCATATGACATTCTCCCAATCCTCTTCTGGATCATCCAAATGCACTCTAGCAAACTTCAGACGGGCCTGGACATGTACTGGCTTAAGCATGGGGACACGTCTTGCACTGCAGGATTTGAGTCCCTGGCGGCGTAGTGTGTTACTGATGGTAGGCTTTGTTCATTTGGTCTCAGCTCTCTGCAGGTCATTCACTAGGTCCCCCGTGTGGTTCTGGGATTTTTGCTCACCGTTCTTGTGATCATTTTGACCCCACGGGGTGAGATCTTGCGTGGAGCCCCAGATCGAGGGAGATTATCAGTGGTCTTGTATGTCTTCCATTTCCTAATAATTGCTCCCACAGTTGATTTCTTCAAACCAAGCTGCTTACCTATTGCAGATTCAGTCTTCCCAGCCTGGTGCAGGTCTACAATTTTGTTTCTTGTGTCCTTTGACAGCTCTTTGGTCTTGGCCATAGTGGAGTTTGGAGTGTGACTGTTTGAGGTTGTGGACAGGTGTCTTTTATACTGATAACAAGTTCAAACAGGTGCCATTAATACAGGTAACGAGTGGAGGACAGAGGAGCCTCTTAAAGAAGAAGTTACAGGTCTGTGAGAGCCAGAAATCTTGCTTGTTTGTAGGTGACCAAATACTTATTTTCCACCATAATTTGCAAATAAATTCATAAAAAATCCTACAATGTGATTTTCTGATTTTTTTTCCTCAATTTGTCTGTCATATTTGACGTGTACCTATGATGAAAATTACAGGCCGCTCTCATCTTTTTAAGTGGGAGAACTTGCACAATTGGTGGCTGACTAAATACTTTTTTCCCCCACTGTATTTATTTTAAACCTTTGCTAATGGAGATGGGGAAACTCATACTGCATCTCTCATCATCACTCTTCTGTGAAAATGACAGCAAGATAAACAGGAAACAGAGACACAGGAAGCCGTGTGAAACTAAGGATGGCAACGGTGTCAACCAGACCAACAAACTATGGTAAAAACACACACACGCATGCACGTACGCGCGCACACACACACACATGCACACACACACGCCCACCAAACAAGTAAGGGATAAAACAATAACTTAAAAACACTATCTGAACACATAGCCCATTAGGCTAAAACTGATTGAATCGACGTTGTTTCTATATCATTTCAACAACAAAAATTCAATGTGAAGATGTTGAATCAACGTGGAAAACTGATTTAATTTTTAAAAAGTCATCAAAGTAAGGGAATTTTGTATTTTTTCACCCAACTTTTAACCTAAATCCAATGACATGGTGAAATGTTTTGTTTATTTCCTGTTGAATTCACTTTAGTTGACAACTCAACCAAATGTAAATCAAAACTAGACGTTGAACTGACGTCTGTGCCCAGTGGTAGGTAGCTCTCCAAAAATTCAAACAATAATACTGATTTCAACTGCCCCCTTAGTCACTTTATCCCGGCGACGGGTCTGCAGAACTGTCATTCTTTTCAATAACTTTGTAACAATCATTTTAATCAACATTTATCATCTCAATAAGCACAATAAGCACAAGTTTTAGTGGGAATAAACACTCCTTGCAAACCCCTCAACCTCATTTGCATGTTATGGTGGCTGATTTCCTCATGTGTCTACCTTGTTTGTACACCCAAAGAGGAAGAAGTGGAAATAATGAATTATAGGAATCTATAGGGGAAAAAGGGGAAGCTTCAGAAACAGGGCCGGCCTAACCAAAATACCAAGTATTATGGAGAAGTGACAGAAAGGGAAGCACAGACAAGGAATTGTAAAACGGTGTAACTGAAACAGTCTTTTTGCAGGACGCTTGTTTTCACTGACACTTTGAGGGAACAAGCTCCCATAATGCATGATTCATCCAGTGAAAGCGGAAAGGCAACTAGTGTGAACACAATGACTTTCTGTTGCTCTCAAATATAACTTCATTATCAACCTAACACCACCAATCTTGTGATACTGGATAAAATCAGCATTTGGTATACAGTACTATGCTAACTACTCCAATAATAATATTAAACACCACATTGGTGATAGTGGACAGACCAAAGAACAAATGATGTTAGAATTAGTACTGTAAGTCCAGGGCAGCATTGTAAAAAAAAGAAAATGCTCCTCCCTCGTCTTACAACATTTTGTCTGTTGCCCTGTTGTCACGTTGCAAGTGGACACATAACCTACGTCTTTCCACTGAGATGAAGAGAACACAAAGGAAGCTAGCTAGATGAAAGCAGAAAGGCACAAAATACAACAGACGAAGAGAGAGCACCCCGGGCATAGAGGCAATGATAACTGTGAAGAGCATATTCTCACAAACCACAGATGCTGAATTAAGGCCTGCATGTCTCCAAACATGTTAGGCCTACATGTCAGGCAGAACAATAGACGTGAAGATGACTGGGTGGTGGGCTACAATATGAATACAACCATTTTCCAACTTCTACATGATTACAGTAATGAGAGAAAAATATGTTCCTACCCTCTATGGGTTTGTTGTTTGGTTAATGTAATGCAGAAAACTTGTAACATATTTGGGGGCTCGTCCGTGATTTCACTTACAGAAAGTACACTTGTTGTAGTGGTATTACCCTTTTATTTATTTAATTATTATTTATTTATTTGCACCAAAGAAAACAAGTGATAGACAACAATACAGATTTAAAAAATATATTTTAAACAAAACGGTGTGCAGGTGAGGTTGGAAGCCCAAGGGCTTATATGAAAACCACACCACAAAAACAATATACAATACATAAGTACAAAAATAAAAACGTTTTTTAAAACAGATAACAAAACCTACTAATTATAAATATATCAATGAATTGATCTGTAATAATAACAAAATAAATAAATATGTGTTTTGTTAAAATGTGTGTGTGCATGTAAATATATAAATGAATTGATCTGTAATAACAAAATAAATAAATATGTGTTTTGTTAAAATGTGTGTGTGCATGTGTGTATGTGAATGTGTGTGAGTTAGGCTATATGGAGGAGATTACTGAGTAGTTTGGTTCATCAGGCTGACCCCCAATCTTCGCTTTACCTTATTGCGGGATGATGATGTTTTGTCAATGTGAAGATAAGAATTCCAGAGTATGGTAAAACATACTTAACTATCAACATCTAGTAAAAATGACAGAGGCAAGATCTTGTTTTTGTGCCCATAGTACTGTATTCTTTAATCATCTGCTAAGTAAATGCAGACATCTTGAGTTTCTCTTGAGTTTAGAATCTCACTGAGCCTTTCTGTTAACCTTTGGTTCTATATCATTCATAGTGGAATATTTAAGCAATAAGGCTAAGGGGTGTTCTTCTGCACGATGCGAAGTGGAGTGCATGGATGCAGCCCTTAGCCGTGTTAAACTCTGAGGTGCCTTATTGTTATTATTAACTGGTTACCAATGTAAATAGAACGCTAAACAAGTATTTTGCATCATACGCGTGGTATATTGTCTGATATACACAAAGCTGAAATGCTGTTTCAGCCAATCAGCATCGAGATCCCAAACTACCCGGTTTATAATGATTGCTAATTTGACTTAAATGACTGCCGTTGACATTGAGAGGCAGATTTATCTCTTTGTTTGTCCTTCCCTGTGTGATTTGACACTTGCTTCCCAAAACAAGTAAATCAGGATGTGTGACCGTGTGACAAACATGATATAAACTAAAAGCCCTTCTTCCCATCCCCAATTTAGTCACAACTTCCCCATACTGGATATCTCTGAGAAGCTGCAACACAGCAGTAGTAGTTCCCTCTTCTTTTCCGGGTTCAGTGCTGTCTACCTCAGCTATGTGATAGTGGGTAAGAGAAGGGCCAGAGCGACAACATGAGGGTTGGTGTAGACCACTGAAGCTCAAGTATCTTTCCAGAGACCTTCCATGGCAAAACCATGGGCTTATTCACTTGACTTGGAAGTTAAAGAACTAAACACATACTTTTCAACACTGTAGGCTATCATATACTTAGTAAGCTTCATTGATTTGATACATTGGTACAAAAGAGACTCTACATTTCTAAGTTCACAAGCTACACTGAACAAAAATATAAATGCAAAGTGTTGGTCCCATGTTTCATAAAGAATCCCAGACATTTTCCATACGCACAAAAAGCGTATTTCTCTGAAATGTTGTGCACAAATTAGTTTACATCACTATTAGTGAGCATTTCTCCTTTGCCAAGATAATCCATCCATGGGGCATATCAATAAGCTGATTAAACAGCATGATCATTACACAGGTGCACCTTATGCTGGGGACAATAAAAGGCCTCTTTAAAATGTGCAGTTTTGTCACACAACACAATGCCACAGATGTCTGAAGTTTTGAGGGAGCATGCAATTGGCATGCTGACTGCAGGAATGTCCACCAGAGCTGTTGCCAGAGAATTGAATGTTAATTTATACCGTAAGCTGCCTCCAACGTCGTTTTAGAGAATTTGGCAGTACGTCCAACCGGCCTCACAACCGCAGACCACATGTAACCATGCCAGCCCAGGACCTCCACATCCGGCTTCTTCACCTTCGGGATTGTCTGAGAGGGGTTGGGGGGGTGCTGAGGACTATTTCTGTCTGTAATAAAGCCCTTTTGTGGGGAAAAACTAATTCTGATTGGCTGGGCCTGGCTCCCAAGTGGGTGGGCCTATGCCCTCCCAGGCCCACCCATGGCTGCACCCCTGCCCAGTCATGTGAAATACATAGATTAGGGCCTAATTTATTTATTTAAATTGACTGATTTCCTTTTATGAACTGTAACTCAGTAAAATCTATTTTTGTTCAGTATAGCAAAATAATAGGAAACCCAGGTAACTGATAACAAGCCATTGGTGTTGGTTTAGATATCTAGTGTGGAAGTAAAAATAGCCTGTTGGAGGTTCCTGTAATGGGCTGCTTTTCTCACTGCCTGATGAAAATAGCCCAGTGTGTGCTAGCTTGACTGTGGAACCAACCACATGCGTGTAAAACCACGTACATGCCATGGAGTGTGACTCCTTTGAGTGTGTCAGTGTTGATTAGGAGCACCAAAAACAAAGTGTACTTTTCTACTAGCCTTGAATTTTCGGGAACTCAAAAGCTTAGCACTCGGGTCTGAAATAGACCCGGTTGTAGCGAAGACTTAATAACCCGAATGATTCATACCGAAAGAGAAATTGTGTCACCAGAAAGACATACTGTGACATGTCATTTTACTGTCTGCGTGACTGTAATGACCAAATATATTTTTAAACAATTGAATTCAATAAGGCAACTTGTAAAGCATACTTCTGTGATGATATGTCTTGTACTCCTCACACAAGGGGAATACTTTTTGTGCTTGTTGAATCATATGGTGAGGCTATGTAGGATGAACCTAGAGAAGCTGTGTAGGACGAACCTATGCTGGCTTTGGAAAGTAAATGGAAAACTGCAAAAAGCAACCTGGCTTTGAGGTCTTGAGCTTCCGTTATACTTTCAGCCTCCCTGTCTTAGTTACACAGTTCTGCGTGCGCTCTGCACTTCAGGCCCATAGCCTCTGTACCACATGATCCTGACAGATAATAATAACTCCCTGATGCATTTGGGGTTTATCAGCGAGCCAGCGATGCACTGCATAGATATAACAGTCACTTCCTCTCACACTGGTGATTAGATCTTCAAGGAGTGCAGAGCACCACATACACAAACACTTACACTCACTCACATTCAAAGACCAACACATACAACAAACACACACACACACACACACACTATTGGCTATGTTTAGGCCGACCTCTCTCCTGATTCAGGACCTCTTCAAAATACTATAAGGCCAGATATAGAGATGAAGAATCATACAACCCATCCTTAAAAAACAGACTCAACAAAGAACACAATACAGTATCTAATTTTTATCACTGATGACCGTCTCTCATTGTATGTGAATTTACAAAAACATGTTGAAAGTACTGTGGAATAATGTCTGTATCAACATTCCCAAAATTATTGACAAAAATCATTAAATTCACTTAGGAAACGCGTGTAAAAATTATAAACTGTGTGACTGTGATCTCTAAATCATAGTCCCCCTTGTGCATCAGTGAAGATTTGAGTCATTTGAGCTGTTTTTCCTAATATGTAAAATACGGCAAGTGAAATGACTAATCATAGGCTCAGCCACAAAGACAGTCATATGGAGAAAGCCATGCCTGACTGGGGGTGAACCACAGCTGCATATGCCTGGGTTTCCCATGGCCTCCTCTTCCATCTCTAGCTCAACTGCACACTTGCACAGAGCCCCCCAAAAAGGAGCATTTATTACCAAAATATCTGGAAGTATAGGGTCAAGTCCATGTAACGCTTCAGAAATTTAATCAGTTGGTGGATCATGAATAAACCTTGGAATTGCAGCTGCTGGAGGTGAAAGATTCAAAATGTCTTGTGATGATTGCTCCTCAACAAATGCTGACAGACGTTTTCACATTGACCAAGTGAATCTTGATAAAGATACATGTGTACTTCATGGTAAGTATGGCAGTTACAATACATTCCTGGTGCATGACAATGGGTATCCTTCTCGTAAACTATGGCATGCTGGCGAGGGTTGGAGTTCCTTATGTGTGCTGCTGAGTTAAAAGCTTGACAGTTGAAGTGAAAGCGTGAGTGTGTTTGCAGGTGCGTTAGCAGTGCGGTGGTGCGATGCGCTGTGATGTGCAGTGCTGATCTCCGAAACTTGACTCTGCTCCTGAAGACTTTATCTCCTGGAGTGTTGAAACTGCCTGATGGCAAGTTCTTCTTAGGAAACTCTTGCACATCCTATTTCAGTTTCCTCTGCTCTGACATGTTATTTTTGACTAAGTGCCGCCTCAAAGTGCCATGGTAAACTACACCACACAGCTATCTGGAGCTAATATGGAAGGAAGGACATTCCAATTTTACACCACAATTTATAGTAACACTTACTGTGTATTGTAGTTATCACAATGGATCACCGACACATCCCACAAACATACCATAGCTATTGGTTGAATGAGCTACTGTACTTTTAGGCATAAAATATGATATGGTTTCCCTACAGGTAGTGCAGCACTAGGGGGGCTTTTCACAAATGTACTCATGAAGCAACAATTCAAATTCCAAAACTCCATCTGGTAAATGCTGCCTGGTGTCCCCTAATAACCCAGTCATGTCCCGAGTTTAAATAAACATGTACATCAACTAATGCTAATATTATGTCCATGATATTCCCTGGCTTAATTTAGTAACATCCTCATATCAAGGGCACATTAGCCATTCCTTAAGGTTTTGCACATCATGAGACAGATCAAAGAAATGTCCAACCTTTCCTGCCAATGACCTAAATGCATCAATAACTTTTAGATTACATGTTCAAAAGAACTACGTTTGATTAAGTGCCAGATTGCAAGTAATGAGTGGGTCTAAGGGATTTTTGTTACATGTGGTAACCACTTGTTGGGATGCCGTTACGAAATGTTATGTTACTAACAAAATAGTTATGTTACTAACACATTTGTTTTTATGATATGTACAGTGAGCTCCAAAAGTATTGGGACAGTGACAATTTTGTTGTTGTTTTGGCTCTGTACTCCAGCACTTTGGATTTGAAATGATACAATGACTATGAGGTTAAAGTGAAGCTCTTTTGTAGAGTCTGTCAGCTTTATTTCTTGGGTATTTTAATCCATATCAGGTGAACCGTTTAGAAATTACAGCACTTTTTGTACATAGTCCCCATTTTAGGGGACCAAAAGTATTCGGACAAATTCACTTACACTGAGTGTACAAAACGTTAGGAACACATTCCTAATATTGAGTTGCACCCACTTTTGCCCTCAGAGCAGCTTCAATTTGTCAGGGCATGGACTCTACAAGGTGTCAAAAGCGTTCCACAGGGATGCTGGCCCATGTTGACTCCAATGCTTCCCACAGTTGTGTCAAGTTGGCTGGATGTCCTGATACACAAGGGAAACTGTTGAGTGCAAAAAACCCAGCAGTGTTGCAGTTCTTGACACACTCAAACAGGTGCCCCTGGCACCTACTACCATACCACGTTCAAAGGCACTTAAATCTTTTGTCTTGCCCATTCACCCTCTCCTCCCCTTCATTTACACTGATGAAGTGGATTTCAATAACATTTAAGTCATTTAGCAGACACTCTTATCCAGAGCGACTTACAGGAGCAATTAGGGTTAAGTGCCTTGCTCAAGGGCACATCGACAGATGTTTCACCTAGTCGGCTCGGGGATTAGAACCAGTGACCTTTCGGTTACTGGCACAATGCTCTTAACCACTAAGCTACCTGCCGCCCCACCTGGATTTACCTGGTCAGTCTATGTCATGGAAAGAGTGAGAACGTTACAGAGGCATAAATATCATAACCCGCCCAAAAAATGCTAACCTACCCTGTTTTTGTAATGGTGAGAGGTTAGCATTTTCTGTTTTGGGGAGGGGGAAGGGGGGGGGGGGGGGGGGGTGATATTTACGACTCTGTAACTTTCTCACTTTTCATTGTTCACGATTCATTCAGGATTATCCGTAATCATGGTAGCATCCACATTAATGTAGAAGTGTTAGACACATATTATATTATTATTTACAATAAAAATGACTCCAAAATGACAGAATACATTATTTACCATTAATTTCTATTGGGTACAAAATTATCTGAAACACAACCAAAACAAAACAGCAAATGCATCCAACAAATGTGTAGAGTCAAAGCTTGATGTAGTCATTGTGTGCTCGGAATATGGGACCAAATACTAAACTTTTGACTACTTTAATACACATATAAGTGAATTTTGTCCCAATACCTTTGGTGCCATAAAATGGGAGGACTGTGTAAAAAAAGTGCTGAAATTTCTATTAAGTGTAGGCGGGTGTAACAAACATGTGTTGTTAATTATTAATGTATTCGTCATGTATTTCACATGATTTTTAAATCATCATTATTTTCATTATTATTAGTAACAACAGTGCTACTACTTTTGTCCTTGTGAGGGTATAAATATTTCTGAAGGTGCTCTGGAAACTGCTAGGTTTTGGGGTGCACAGGTAAAGAGGTTTGATGGCCATACTGGTCTAGGTGTAACAACTTAACTGGTTATAGGCCTACTGATGTGGGAGTGGTGCAATGGGGAAGCACAGTGAAACTTATGTGGCACAGACTTATATGATCTGTCACTCACCCATGCCTTCTTTGTCACCCCTGTTGTTGTGTTGCAGATTGGAGCTAGCAGACAGGTCCTCTGGGATGGGCATGGCCTCGTCGTTCTCCTCAGACACATCATTGGGAGTGGGGCTGTCCCTGCCTACATGGGGAAGCACCAGCAAACACCCATTAGTCACCAGAACATGGTTCATTATTGCTCATAAGTTAGAACCATAATTATCTATGTATGAAAAAAATAAAATAATTATGCACTCACTAACTGTAAGTCGCTCTGGATAAGAGCGTCTGCTAAATGACTAAAATGTAAATGTAATCTATAATCCATTACATGTGCTATGACTGTGCCACTCAGCTTGGGCTCTGTGCAACTCATGTTGTGCTTCTCTTTTCTACCTAGACATGGCCCTACCAGTTCTGAAAACAGAAGCTCTTACCTGGTATCTGAGACATCTCCTGTGCCTCCTCCGTCTCCATTCGGTGCAGGTACTCTAATGGGATAGAGAGACACAGAGATGTAGATGTGTTTAAATGTAATCAACGGCTCCACAGGGCCGAAAAAACACAACATTATAAAAAGCCACAGCTGACTAAAGGGGTGACCTCTCTCTGTACAACTCCGTCACCCCGGCAAGATCACTCTTGTCACACCGAAAGACACACCACTGTCCCCCACATTACATTACAAAGAATTACAGACATTTTCATTACAAGTCTGACAGAGAGGGCGGGCTGGGAGAGTGGCTTGGCCCCGCATGATGGGCTATGGTGATGGGGGTGCTGGGAAGGGGCTTTCAGACCACATTTGTTATTTATTGTTAATTTCCTGCCACGTAATCATCCACAAATGCAAACTGACTGCCGCAAAATTAAGCAGAAAATTAACTGGCCCTAGGTCACTGAGGATGCGGCTGTTTGCCCGTGCCAAGCTTATCGGCGCTCGTGTTCGCTTTAATTTACTGAGCATGCATCGCTGAGCGCGCCACTACCCGAGCAGAGACATGTGTGAGAGGAGCCACAATCAGAAACAAAGAGAGAGGAGAGAGAGAAAGATAAGAAAGAGAGAGAGAGGAAGAGAGAGAAAGACAGGCCGAGAGAGATGCAGAGAGGGACCCAGAGAAGGAGAGCGAGACGGAGATAGATAGAGAGGGGGAGATACAGAGATAGAGAGGGGAGGGAACCAAGACAGACAGGGAGTGTGCCAGAGAGCGAAAGTGAAGAGAGAGAACCAGGGACAGAGAGATCGATAGAGGAAGGAGAAGGCCGAGGGGCCCCGAAGTAAGTTTCTCTCGCACAAGAGGAGGCAATTTAGTGAAGAAGAGCACATCCCCTGGCCAGAGCCTGCTGCATATCTGAGGAGTCACCAGTGCGCGTGGCCCCATTAATAATGCATCCCCCTCAAGCCTGCAGCAGATGGGCACAACAGCCTCAGCCTCAGCTCCGCCACTTCAAGAAGGCCCTTGGTGGAGCCGCTTGCCCGGACCAGCCAGCCACATAGGGAGAAGTGAAGCTCCCTAAAATAGCGAAGCAAGCCCGAGGGAGAAGGGGAACCTAGGCCTTCCTGTTTTACTGACAGATGGCTCCACACATTTGGAACAAATAGTGGGAAGCCACCAAGCAGCCCCCGCTGCTGTCGCAACGCACAATGTTCAGCGGACAGGCGAGTCGAGGCAGAGGTTCCACAACCCACAGACACCCAGGACCCAAGTGGGGGAGGTGGTGGGGAGGGGATTGGGGAGGGGGTAGGAAGGGCAGAGGTCATTAGTGCAGAAGATGTGCTACAGAGAGCGCAGTGAGTGTTGCGTGCTAGTGTGTGTTGATATAGGAGTAGGAGGCCCTGCCTGCGTCATCATTCTTTAGCATCTGGAGTTTGGAGGTCGAGAGGGGGTGGTAATCTCATGTGCCCTTTTTTTCTGGGCAGATGGTGTGAAGGGAAATACTGATGGTGTTGGTGGGGGACTTTGACAGAAGTGAGAAATGCATTCCCATGTTAAACCACAACCCAGTTGTGTAGGCATGTGGAGAGCAAGGTGCATGAGAACATTCAGGAAGTTGTATATTCACCTGAAGTGACACTGTTCTTACTTTTAGTATAACTACTTGAAGCTAGATTCAATAAAAATAAAATTGGGGGGAGCATTTTTCATATCATCATTTCCTGTCTAAGGTTTCCTGTCTAAGGTCATTTTAAACCACAGGCGTTTGTGACAAAAGACAATTAGTTGGATATCTTGCTATATCATGTTTTTTTTCTTTTCTTGTTGATGATTCTCAATATATGTTGTGTTTTGTGGATGGTTTCATTCAGACAATATTTCAGAATGACACCACCTTCTAAAGTCCAATTTGAAAAAACAAGGCACTAATGGCAATAGCTGCTTTCTGAAAGCGCCTCACAAAGGGCAGGAAGAGTCATGGCAGTGGGTCTGAGTGCGCTCAGTAAGGGGAGGAGAGACAGGAAGAGGGCTGTGGGTTCACAACACCCTCAGTCCTAACTCAAGGGATTGTGTGTGTTGTGTGTGTGTGTGCGTGTGTTGTGTGTGTGTGTGTTGTGTGTTGTGTGTGTGAGGGGTGGATGGAAGGGTGGGGTGGAAGGGCTGTGCAGAGGAGGGTGCGAACACACGAAAGGGAGCAGGGTGGAGACTGAAACAGCCAAACCGTTAAACAGCCAAAGTGGACTACACCAGCACACTTTGGATACTGGGAGGAGTAAAAACGGACAGACGGGGTTTTATAATGTAAACTATAATCTAGCAACTCATATTAATCCTTAAATGTTGGAATATCAACAAAAAACATATGCAAATAACATGGGGGCTAACACAAATGAATAAATAGTCATATATGAAAATCAATACAATCTACGTGGTGATATAGAACGTCATGCTAAGTTTTTCATATGGTTTTTGTGTTGTTGAAAATTAAAACAAGAAATGTATCATATCAAGTATTCTTCTTGAAATGTTTTTGTTCCCAAACTATTATTAGTATATGCTGCTTCTATCAGAAGTGTGATTCAAGACTGTACTTGAAAATACTAATTTGTTTCTCCAGAAAATTCCTTTTGACATATGGCATACAACAACCAATCACTCATTTGGAAAATAAATTAAGAAGAGTGGCTATTGTGGCAATTTATTCCTAAAATATAATGTTATCAGTTTGATTAATATATTTTGATACTGAGATGGAAAAAATTATATGACTTTTTGAGTACTGAGTCTCACCTCATCCATTGCAGTGTTAAACAAAACAATATTTGTGCCATAATTTGCTCATGCCTTACCAGCGACCCACCTGTGGTTCCCAACCCACCATTTGGGGAACCATGCCCTATTACACTATACCACATAATATAATGAACAGTCATCTTTTAAAATTATAGAGTGATTTCTCATTAGCAATTAAGGAAATGTGAGCTGATGTTTGGGCACCTATTGTAAGGGTTAGATGGTCTACATTATAGGGGTGAAAGGAGTTTCCTTATAGGGTCTTCAATTGAATCTGACACACTTCATTACACTGGTTTTCAGTGAGGATCATTTTAATAACTGCCTTTCATTCGGTTTCCCTATCCTCAGTCTGCTAATAATGAGGAGGTGGATGTGTCCACAAGCATGTATTTGCAGCATTCGGTGTTCCTAATGTTTTGTACACTCAGTGTAAGTGAATTGTAATACTGAATGAAGAAGTAGTCAGTTCAATACCTATTTTTGATTTACATTTGGTTGAGTTGTCAACTAACGTGAATTCAATGTGAAATCAACAAAACATTTGATTTAGGTTAGAAGATGGGTGAAAGAAAATACGAAATTCCATTATGTTGATGACTTTCTGCAAATCCAATCAGTTTTCCACATTGATTCAACATCAACACATACATTTTTGTTGTTGTTGAAATGTGTGGAAACCACGTTGATTCAACCAGTTTTTGCCCCGTGGGAGGCAATGTTAACAAAATGGAAATATTGTTAACAACAAATTAAATCAAGTTAAAACAATATCCACATTGCTTTTGATGCTTTGTGACTACAAACTGGGCAATGCAGCAATGATATACCTTATTATTTTTTACCAAATTAATTTGTAGACTTAAGTTAGATTTTTCATTGTTGAATAGAATAACCTACGAGTTAAAGTTTGTAGAATTATATGTCCCAGCGCACAAAAGTGTGAGGTAAGTTTTGTGAACTTGTTTCCCCAAGTTTTTGTTGAATGTCAGTTTCACAACATGTTAACAGTTACTTGAGTCCTGCCCACCAATACTATCAACACACATGTCAAGTTCGGCTCAGACCAACCAATGATTGCGAACGTCTTGGGCATCTTGAAACGGGATTTCGAAGTGTATTTTTCATGTAACTTTGAGAAAGCAGAGAAACACATTACGTTTTTTATGCTGTAGGCAACGTAGTTAGTTATAGCTAACTAGTTTCAGCGCTTTCATTGAGGAGTGTTAAGATAATGTTTTTGCGTTTATTTTAACTTAGGCCTACTTCGTTTGATTTGTAATAATGGAAAGTGGACTTCTGAAATAAGAACTCCAGCTTGAATGACATGAAGTAAAATAGTTATAATCAGATATTCATTCTGGATGCGCACAGTTGCAACAGGTGCCGATCTGGTACGAAAAGTGAAAGGAGTCTATGTAAAACTTTTAAACAACAAAAACGTATTTTTGTTTTTATGTTATCCATAATTCATATAGGCTTAATCATCAATGGCAAGAAACATCGTCTAATGCTTCTATATGGTCAAGATAATGGTGAGCAATTCCTGCAATCTCCAAAAAGGAGTATGGGAAAAGAGGAACATTTTTCATTATTCCATTATTTTCCTAAGTGCGTTTGATATTAACTACAACGCTGATCAAAATTGTATAACATTCATTAAACATTACAATTTCCCTTGACTTCTTGGTCAAATCAGTTACGTGCGCCGCTATACAAATACTCGCATCACAGGATTTCAGACGCTCGCGCACCTGCACCAGACTTCAGGACAACGTTTTCCAATCCGCTACATAGTTCATTTTTAAAGAGTAAGGCCCCTTCTTACTATTTAGAAATACGAATAAACGCTTTAAATTAGTTAGAAGTTAACAAGCATCGTAAAAGTTTCTCTACCTGCTATTCCTTGAGTTTGCAATATGAAGTTCTTCCAACTCTCCCCCGCTCCATGTGCAGAAGTTCGAAGCGCCGCGGCAGCCCCATGGAACTCTGCCCTCGGTCCCTCCCCTCTCCACTGTACTTCCTCTTTCCAGCCTAACATTTCAATGTTTCTGTGCTCGACTGAGGCATTTTGCTTGCTTTTATCCAGAGGTCGAGTCTGCTCGGGGAGTGGAGGCAGCAGCCTTTGGCACTTGCTTTGTATCGTGCCAATAAAAGCTGACACCAAGTAGACCATTACTGGCAGCCATGCATGAGATGGGATGAGGCGCACAGGAGACCGGACGATTCATTGTTTATTTATTTATTTCGTAGAGAAGGAT